ACTGCCTGACAAAGATTGAAGGTCGTTACTGCCTGGTTAAGATTGAAGGTTGTAACTGCCTTGTCGTTTTGACCTGAAGATCAGCGAGGGTCGTTACGATCGGTGGAGGTCGTTGTGACCTCGTTAAGATCACTGATGGTCGTTATTGCCACGTTAAGGAATCAGCCAATCGGCTGATGATAATGTTAGTAGTACTATCATTGTTATTGTGGAAGTGCCTGGGAATAGTAGGCAATCAGGTTTGATCCACGGAAGGGGAGAGGTAGCTCCAGTTCCTTGGATTAAAAGTGTAAAAAAAGGGGGGTTTACACTACGTATATGAAAGCCAAAATGATCACTTGAATGTTCAATATTCAACTAACTGAACATTTGGTCACTTCTCACCCCTCATTTTGAACATTATTCCCCTCTACACCCCTCTCTTTCTCTCTCAAACCCCCTAGAAAAACTGGTCTATAGTTATGCAGATTTTCGGAAAGATTCATGCACACGTATGAACAGGTCACACACAGAACGAGACTGTTCACCACGAACTCTTCTTTTTACGTATATCTTACTGAAATATGATTCGCGAAGTCGTAATGACACGATTGCAATCCAACCATACCAGGCGTCGGTCTGGAGTTTTACGATTCTCTAACCGCCTGTGGTATGTTTTTTTTTTTTTGGGGGGGGGGGAGAGGGGCTGAAATATGTTTGTGTTCATCAGAACTGGTGTTTCGTAGCATTATCCTTGGTCTTGCTGCGCTCTGTTGGTCTCCCAGGCGATGGAAATATAAACACAAATGCAGTATAATGTGATCCTTTATTGACAACGTTTCACCCACACAGTGGGCTTTCTCAAGTCACACACGGATCTACCTGAGAAAGCCCACTGTGTGGGTGAAACGTTGTCAATAAAGGATCACATTATACTGCATTTGTGTTTATATTTCCATTGTGTCGGTATTTTATACCATTTATTACCATGGTCTCCCAGGCACTGTTAAGGCTGACTTTTGAAGGATAGGAAGGTCGGTACTCGATCACACCTTCCTAAAGATTTTGGGGTTAGAGGACACGTCCATGCCACCAAGCTTACGCTTACTTACACATGATAAGTTTTCAGACGTTCTGTCACACGTCCATGCCACCAAGCTTACGCTTACTTACGCTTAACAAGTTTTCAGACGTTCTGTCACGTCCATGCCACCAAGCTTACGCTTACTTAAGCTTGATAAGTTTTCAGACGTTCTGTCACACGTCCATGGCACCAAGCTTACGCTTACTTAAGCTTGATAAGTTTTCAGACGTTCTGTCACACGTCCATGGCACCAAGCTTACGCTTACTTAAGCTTGATAAGTTTTCAGACGTTTTTGTCACACGTCCATGCCACCAAGCTTACGCTTACTTAAGCTTGATAAGTTTTCAGACGTTCTGTCACGTCCATGCCACCAAGCTTACGCTTACTTAAGCTTGATAAGTTTTCAGACGTTCTGTCACACGTCCATGGCACCAAGCTTACGCTTACTTAAGCTTGATAAGTTTTCAGACGTTCTGTCACACGTCCATGCCACCAAGCTTACGCTTACTTAAGCTTGATAAGTTTTCAGACCTGTCACACGTCCATGCCACCAAGCTTACGCTTACTTAAGCTTGATAAGTTTTCAGACCTGTCACACGTCCATGCCACCAAGCTTACGCTTACCTAAGCTTGATAGGTTTTCAGACGTTCTGTCACACGTCCATGGCACCAAGCTTACGCTTACTTAAGCTTGATAAGTTTTCAGACCTGTCATACGTCCATGCCACCAAGCTTACGCTTACTTAAGCTTGATAAGTTTTCAGACCTGTCACACGTCCATGCCACCAAGCTTACGCTTTCTTAAGCTTGATAATTTTCAGACCTGTCACACGTCCATTGCCACCAAGCTTACGCTTACTTAAGCTTGATAATTTTTCAGACCTGTCACACGTCCATGCCACCCAAACTTACGCTTACTTAAGCTTGATAAGTTTTCAGACCTGTCACACGTCCATGCCACCAAGCTTACGCTTTCTTAAGCTTGATAATTTTTCAGACCTGTCACAAAGTCCATGCCACCAAGCTTACGCTTACTTAAGCTTGATAAGTTTTCAGACCTGTCACACGTCCATGCCACCAAGCTTACGCTTACTTAAGCTTGATAAGTTTTCGACCTGTCACACGTCCATGCCACCAAGCTTACGCTTACTTAAGCTTGATAATTTTTCAGACCTGTCACACGTCCATGCCACCAAGCTTACGCTTACTTTAAGCTTGATAATTTTTCAGAACCTGTCACACGTCCATGCCACCAAGCTTACGTCTTACTTAAGCTTGATAATTTTTCAGACCTGTCACACGTCCCATGCCACCAAGCTTACGCTTACTTAAGCTTGATAAGTTTTCAGACCTGTCACACGTCCATGCCACCAAGCTTACGCTTACTTAAGCTTGATAAGTTTTCAGACCTGTCACACGTCCATGCCACCAAGCTTACGCTTACTTAAGCTTGATAATTTTTCAGACCTGTCACACGTCCATGCCACCAAGCTTACGCTTACTTAAGCTTGATAAGTTTTCAGACCTGTCACACGTCCATGCCACCAAGCTTACGCTTACTTAAGCTTGATAAGTTTTCAGACCTGTCACACGTCCATGCCACCAAGCTTACGCTTACTTAAGCTTGATAAGTTTTCAGACCTGTCACACGTCCACGCCACCAAGCTTACGTTTAATAAGTTTTCTGACTTTATCAGATTAAAATCCACTGAGTTGTCATGTCGGTCATTAAAGTATGGAAAAGTCACAGTAATTTAGTCAAATCTTTGTGTTCGTCAGTACAGCAAGACGGACTGTCTTCTATATTAAAGTTGTCCTGACAACTTCTCGAATCTGTCAGGTAAAATAGTCTGTTAAAGACGTACTTATGGACTTGCATATCTAAGACCAATACTAGTCCCTCAGCCTGGAGGCTGAGGGACTGGCCACCTGAAATACTCTCTCTCCAAGGTTGATGGACTGATTATATCATCTTTATTTAATTTCTACTGCTTCCTTTGTATTTGAAGAAATCTGTGTAAGAGCAACTTTGCATCAATCAAGATACCCAGCTGTTGCACACGTGTCTTAATCTTCAACTTATCGGTATTGTATTTCATTATCATCAACTTATTGTAATGAAGTTGGTAGAATTACCGACAATATGTAAAGTAAAAGGACACAAGTGCAACTAATGGCTTGATAAAGCTCCTGGAGAGCGAAACGTTGCCACAATAAATGTCACATTAGTTGCACTTGTGTCCTTTTACTTTACATCATCAACTTAGTTGACTGAGACGGACATGAAGTTCTCTATATTATTTTTTTTTCACTTTAATATACAGCATGATTTATTTAAAAAATGTAATTTAATTATAGGTTTTTAAGTATTTTTTGCAGTGATATCTGCCAATCATCGTCACGTTGTTCTACGTTAGCCAATGGGAAGGAAGCGTTGTTACAATGAAACAATCGATACAAAATTAGTAGTTTAAAGTTGCCTGGTCCAGTAGAATTGTCTCCCAGGAGACAACCAATCAGCGTTGTGCATGTTACTTGTGAGGGAGCCAATGAGAGGGCGGGAATAAGCTTACATGGACCTAGAGACAGCCAATCAGCGTCGTGCATGTTACTTGTGAAAGAGCCAATGAGAGGGCGGGAATAAGCTTACATGGACCTAGAGACAGCCAATCAACGTCGTGTATGTTGTGAAAGAGCCAGCCGAAGGCCGGGAAGGGGATTAAACAGACCCTGAGATAGCCAATCATCGTCATGCATACGATTTATGGAAGAACCAATGGCAGGCCAAGAATTGGTTTCCACCTGCCAGTAGAATCTCAGCATCGACGAACGCCGCCACCTCTCTCATTGTCAACACTGCGAACCTTGATTAACCTGAGCCAGATGGAGGGAAGAAGACATGGTACAAAGGGAACAGTAGAGATTGAGAGACATGTAGAGAGAGAGACTGAGACAGAGAGAGACCGAGACCGAGAGAGAGAGAGAGAGAGAGAGAGAGAGAGAGAGAGAGAGAGAGAGAGAGAGAGAGACCTAGAGAGAGAAACACACACAAAATGTAACGAGGGGGAATAACGCCAAAAAGAAAAATGGGAAAAATAAGGACGTAGAGATAAATTTGTAGAAAATAGGCGAATAATAAAAGAATAGACAAGTACTAAGTATTAGGCGAGTAATAGTCTGGTAATACACGTTATATCACTGGTATAACACGTGTTATATCACTGGTATAATACCCGTTATATCACTGGTATAATACCCGTTATATCACTGGTATAGCACGTGTTATATCACTGGTATAACACGTGTTATATAACCGGTATAACACGTGTTACATCACCGGTATAACGCGATATATCACTGGCATAACACCCGTTACATCACTGGTATAACACCCATTATATCACTGGCATAACACCCGTTATATCACTGGTATAACACCCGATATATCACTGGTTTAACACCCGTTATATCACTGCTATAACACCCGTTATATCACTGCTATAACACCCGTTATATCACTTGTATAACACCCGTTATATCACTGGTATAACACCCGTTATATCACTGGTATAACACCCGTTATATCACTGGTATAACACCCGTTATATCACTGGTATAACACCCATTATATCACTGGTATAACACCCGTTATGTCACTGGTATAACACCCGTTATGTCACTGGTATAACACCCGTTATATCACTGATATAACACCCGTTATATCACTGATATAACACCCGTTATATCACTGGTATAACACCCGTTATATCACTGGCATAACACGCGTTATATCACTGGTATAAATATTATCGACTACTGTGAAAGTGATATATGTTATATATGTTCTTAATTATCATTAGTAATGATAACATTGCTTATAATGATTCAGTGTTATTATACAATGTATAACTCAGAGTTGGATGATGTCTCCCCCAGGTCGTGTAAGATGTGACTCCGAACTTCAAGACTGGCGCCAGGTTCTCAAGGTGAGTACTGTGATGTGAGTGAGTACTGTGATGTGGGTGAGTACTGAGATGTGAGTGAGTACTGTGATGTGAGTGAGTACTGTGATGTGAGTGAGTACTGTGATGTGAGTGAGTACTGTGATGTGAGTGAGTACTGTGATGTGAGTGAGTACTGTGATGTGGGTGAGTACTGAGATGTGAGTACTGTGATGTGAGTGAGTACTGTGATGTGAGTGAGTACTGTGATGTGAGTGAGTACTGTGATGTGAGTGAGTACTGTGATGTGGGTGAGTACTGAGATGTGAGTGAGTACTGTGATGTGGGTGAGTACTGAGATGTGAGTGAGTACTGTGATGTGAGTGAGTACTGTGATGTGAGTGAGTACTGTGATGTGGGTGAATACTGTGATGTGAGTGAGTACTGTGATGTGAGTGAGTACTGTGATGTGAGTGAGTATTGTGATGTGGGTGAGTACTGTGATGTGAGTACTGTGATGTGAGTGAGTACTGTGATGTGGGTGAGTACTGTGATGTGAGTGAGTACTGTGATGTGGGTGAGTACTGTGATGTGGGTGAGTACTGTGATGTGAGTGAGTACTGTTGATGTATGTGGTACTGTGATGTGAGTACTGTGATGTGGGTGAGTACTGTGATGTGGGTGAGTACTGTGATGTGAGTGAGTACTGTGATGTGAGTGAGTACTGTGATGTGAGTACTGTGATGTGAGTGAGTACTGTGATGTGAGTACTGTGATGTGAGTGAGTACTGTGATGTGAGTGAGTACTGTGATGTGAGTGAGTACTGTGATGTGAGTACTGTGATGTGAGTGAGTACTGTGAGTACTGTGATGTGAGTGAGTACTGTGATGTGAGTGAGTACTGTGATGTGGGTGAGTACTGTGATGTGAGTGAGTACTGTGATGTGAGTGAGTACTGTGATGTGGGTGAGTACTGTGATGTGAGTACTGTGATGTGAGTACTGTGATGCGAGTACTGTGATGTGAGTGAGTACTGTGAGTACTGTGATGTGAGTGAGTACTGTGATGTGGGTGAGTACTGATGTGATGTGAGTGGAGTACTGTGATGGGTGAGTACTGGATGTGAGTGAGTACTGTGATGTGAGTGAGTACTGTGATGTGAGTGAGTACTGTGATGTGGGTGAGTACTGTGATGTGGGTGAGTACTGAGATGCGGGTGAGTACTGAGATGCGGGTGAGTACTGAGATGCGGGTGAGTACTGAGATGCGGGTGAGTACTGAGATGGGGTGAGTACTGGATGTGGGTGTGAGTACTGAGATGGGGTGAGTATGAGATGCGGGTAGTATGTGATGTGGTGAGTACTGTGATGTGGGTGAGTACTGGATGTGAGTGGAGTACTGTGATGTGAGGTGAGTACTGAGATGTGGGTGAGTACTGGATGGGGTGAGTACTGAGATGCGGGTGGAGTACTGAGATGTGGTGAGTACTGAGATGTGGGTGAGTATGGATGTGGTGAGTATGTGATGGTGAGTACTGAGATGTGGTGAGTACTGAATGTGGGTGAGTATGTGATGGGGTGAGTACTGAGATGTGGGTGAGTACTGAGATGTGGGTGAGTACTGATGATGCGGGTGAGTACTGAGATGTGGGTGAGTACTGAGATGTGGGTGAGTACTGTAGTGTGGGTGAGTACTGAGATGTGGGTGAGTATGAGATGTGGGTGAGTATGAGATGTGGGTGAGTACTGAGATGTGGGTGAGTACTGAGATGTGTGGTGAAGTATGAGATGTGGGTGAGTATTGAGATGTGGGTGAGTATTGAGATGTGGGTGAGTACTGAGATGTGGGTGAGTATTGAGATGTGGGTGAGTACTGAGATGTGGGTGAGTACTGAGACGTGGGTGAGTACTGAGACGTGGGTGAGTACTGAGATGTGGGTGAGTACTGAGATGTGGGTGAGTACTGAGATGTGGGTGAGTACTGAGATGTGGGTGAGTACTGAGATGTGGGTGAGTACTGAGATGTGGGTGAGTACTGAGATGTGGGTGAGTACTGAGATGGGTGAGTATGAGAGTGGGTGAGTATGAGATGTGGGTGAAGTACTGAGATGTGGGTGAGTACTTGAGATGTGGGTGAGTACTGAGATTGGGTGAGTACTTGAGAGTGGGTGATACTGAGATGTGGGTGAGTACTGAGACGTGGGTGAGTACTGAGACGTGGGTGAGTACTGAGACGTGGGTGGGAGTACTGAGATGTGGGTGAGGTACTGAGATGGGGTGAGTACTGAGATGTGGGTGAGTACTGAGATGTGGGTGAGTACTGAGATGTGGGTGAGTACTGAGATGTGGGTGAGTATTGTGATGTGGGTGAGTACTGAGATGTGGGTGAGTACTGAGATGTGGGTGAGTATTGAGATGTGGGTGAGTATTGAGATGTGGGTGAGTATGAGATGTGGGTGAGTACTGAGATGTGGGTGAGTACTGAGATGTGGGTGAGTACTGAGATTGGGTGAGTACTGAGATGTGGGTGAGTACTGAGATGTGGGTGAGTACTGAGATGTGGGTGAGTACTGATATGTGGGTGAGTACTGAGATGCTGGGTGTGAGTATGATGTGGGTGAGTACTGAGATGTGGGTGAGTATGAGATGTGGGTGAGTATGAGATGTGGGTGAGTATGAGATGTGGGTGAGTACTGAGATGTGGGTGAGTACTGAGATGTGGGTGAAGTACTGAGATGTGGGTGAGTATTGAGATGTGGTGGAGTACTGAGATGTGGGTGAGTACTGAGAATGGGTGAGTACTGAGACGTGGGTGAGTACTGAGATTGGGTGAGTACTAATTGGGTGAGTACTGAGATGTGGGTGAGTACTGAGATGTGGGTGAGTACTGAGATGTGGGTGAGTACTGAGATGTGGGTGAGTACTGAGATGTGGGTGAGTACTGAGATGTGGGTGAGTACTGAGATGTGGGTGAGTATTGTGATGTGGGTGAGTATTGACATGTGGGTGAGTATTGACATGTGGGTGAGTATTGAGATGTGGGTGAGTACTGAGATGTGGGTGAGTACTGAGATGTGGGTGAGTATTGAGATTTGGGTGAGTACTGAGATGTGGGTGAGTATTGTGATGTGGGTGAGTACTGAGATGTATAACGAGTTTGTTTGGTGAACTGAAAGCGGGGTGTGAAATGATACGTGTCTTCGGAGGCTTCTTACTTTATTGTTAAGTCGTGGTGGGTACACAGGCTTGTGTGTTGTGCCCATGGCCCGGGCAGGGCCAACTCACGAGAGAGAGCTAGGAGTAGGCCTTGTGTCTTCCTGCTAGGCCGCTATGTGAGTGAGAGTGAGGCAAGGGCAGGCAGGCTGAAGTAGCAATGCCTATAGGTGGCAGCACCAGCATGGCGCGAAATATGAACTAAGCTGGCAGACAACATGGGCTGTCTGTGCAGACAGTACAGGCTGTCTACATACGCTCGACCACCTACCGCGCATCGTCCCGACGCGACAATACTGGTGGTAAAAGAAACTCGGTCTTTCTCATAGGAACAGGGCACAGAACACAAAATAAAAAAAAATATATATACATATGGGCATGGAAAGAAAAAAACTTCCTACAGGGAGGGAAGAAAAAAACATGTGGGTGTGCTAAACATTGTGGTCGTAGGCAGTGAGCGTCGAAGGGCATCACTGCACGCCTTCCTGCGTCTGGACAGATACTGCAACACAGGAGACATTGCTGCGGCTGAGCTGTGATGTAACAGGGTACGGTCTCCTCTGGAATGGTGAAGCAGTCATTGTAGGAGTCGCGGCAGGTTTTCACTCAACATGGGGCACGATATGCTGGTGCCCTCGAGTGAGGCGTCGACAAAACTCGGCAACTGGGCAGGACTTCTGGCAAGCAAGCGACTCAGGAGGACACTTCTCGACTGGTACTGTCACTGGGCTGTCACTGCCGACGAGCGTGGAGCGAGTCGTGGCAGAGACGACTGGGCGAAACATCTGGGAGTCGTAACATCATACACCAGACTACAGTGAGCGAGCTAGCAGTCAAAGTGACATCTTCTTTGTGCAGGCTGCTCACTGAAGCTTGTGACACGAGGCTGACACAACGCCTGCCGGCAGGGCTAACTGCGGCTTGGCGAGTATCATTCTCTTGGCAGTTGGAGTTATAGCAGAAGTTAGTCTGAGTGTCCCCAGACTTGTTTCTCTACATATAACTGCATTCTGATGGTCTGGAGGTGAAGTGAAACAAATCTCGATGAGAATCGTAGCAGGTACGATTCTGCAGAACATCACGAGTGATGAGCATAAAAGCTTTCTGTACAAGAGGGCTCGGTCACTCGGGGCTGAGTAATCAGCTGTCAAACACACTGGTCACACGGGTGACTTAGCACAGTGGTGCTAGTCAGGTCTGGCTCAGACCTCACTGGACACACGGAAACTACACACCCGCGGTACATGCGGTACAACATGGCTTAAACTAGCAAATGATGCTTTTCTGTGCACAACACTGACACTAAGACATATACTAAAATGTGAGAACACTGACTGAGAGGAATTAATTAACACGACATATATCTTCTCTCAGTCTTCTCGACAATACTGAAATAATTACTAGAAACACTCGATGTGACATCATGTGATGTCGCGAGGTGACATCAGCAGCACTGTAACGTCAGCAGACATCTTGAGGTGACATCAGGCAGACATCGTGAGGTGACGTCAACAGACATCGTGACGTCATGAAGTCGGGCAGCAGCGTCGGTGACGTCAATGTGATGCGGGCAGCAGACCACAGCATGTGGCCTGGGACATCTGGTAACTCACGTGGCTTGTGGATGCACATGACATCGCCCACACCCACGTGGTGTCGTGATCTACATGGCATGCTGATCTACGTAGCTTCGAGTGGCCTCGGGCACTCGGATACACAGCTCTGGCAATGAATTCACACGAAAAACAGTAGAAAACACAGCAGAGGGAGTGGGCAGTGGTGAGTGTATGGCAGACGAGTGAGCGTGAGTAGGGCGAGCATGGGCAAGGTGAG